TCTTACGTACTCATTTCTCACTATATTTAATATTTAAATGGAATACAGATTCAAGCAACAAAAGTGAAGAGGCTGTGCAAAACCCACAACTCCATCACAGTAAATGGACAGTACCCTGGACCAACCTTGGAAGTAAACAATGGTGACACTCTTGTCATCAAAGTTACAAACAAAGCTCGATACAATGTCACTATTCACTGGTAACTAACACGCCTGCGTGCATGCACATGAATACAAGTTTTTACTCTCGTGCTTCTTTTGTTGTCAGACTGGCTCGCAAGAGAATCTTTATCTTCTTCATTTCTCCGAAGAAATTAATCAACATGCCTTATCTTCTTCATTTCAGGCATGGGATTAGGCAGATTAGAACTGGATGGGCAGATGGGCCAGAATTTGTGACTCAGTGCCCGATTAGGCCAGGAGGAAGCTATACCTACCGATTTACAATTCAAGGGCAAGAAGGTACTCTCTGGTGGCATGCTCACAGTTCATGGCTTAGAGCCACCGTTTACGGCGCACTCATCATTCATCCTAAACAAGGAGACTCCTACCCCTTCACTAAACCGAAACGCGAAACAACCCTTCTTCTCGGTGAATGGTGGGATGCTAACCCTATTGATGTTATAAGGCAGGCTACTAGGACAGGAGGAGCTCCAAATGTTTCTGATGCATACACCATCAATGGTCAACCTGGCGATCTTTACAATTGCTCAAGCAAAGGTAATTCCACAAGAAAAGCTTTACGTGCAATAATCAACTAAGTTAAACTGACCCTAATAATTGATGTAATAAGTAAGTCTTATGTGCCACGTATGAACTGATAAAATTTTATTGTGATTTTTGCAGACACTGTCATAGTTCCTATAGACTCCGGCGAGACCAACCTTCTTAGAGTCATCAATGCTGCCCTCAACCAACCTCTTTTCTTCTCCGTGGCCAACCACAAACTCACTGTTGTTAGTGCTGATGCCTCCTACACCAAACCTTTCACCACCACGGTACTCATGCTAGGCCCTGGGCAGACCACCGATGTTTTAATCACGGGTGACCAGCCACCAGCCCGGTACTACTTGGCGGCGAGTGCTTATTTCAGCGCGCAAAATGCAGCATTCGACAACACCACCACCACCGCCATTCTTGAATACAGGTCTGCTCCTTGCAGCCCCAGTTGCAAAAACGGTCCAACAGCCAAACCGATTATGCCACAACTCCCTGCTTTCAATGACACAAACACTGCTTCTGCTTTCACCAAGAGTTTCAGAAGTCCAAGAAAAGTTGAAGTCCCAACTGAAATCGACGAAAACCTCTTCTTCATAATCGGTCTTGGACTCAACAATTGCCCTAAACATTTCAGAGCCAGAAGGTGCCAAGGCCCAAACGGGACACGCTTCACTGCCCAGCATGAACAATGTGTCCTTCGTGCTTCCAAACAACATGTCAATCCTTCAGGCTTACCAACAAAACATCCCTGGAGTTTTCACCACTGATTTCCCAGCAAACCCTCCGAAGAAATTTGACTACACGGGCAATGTGAGCCGTTCTCTATGGCAGCCTTTGTCGGGCACTAGAGGATACAACTTGAAGTATGGATCAAGGGTGCAGGTTGTGCTGCAGGACACAAGCATCGTCACACCCGAAAACCATCCTATCCATCTTCACGGATACGATTTTTACATCCTTGCCGAAGGTTTTGGAAATTTCAATGCCAAGACCGATACCCAAAAGTTCAACCTTATTGATCCACCTATGAGGAACACAGTGGCAGTGCCTGCGAATGGATGGGCAGTTATCCGATTCGTCGCTGACAATCCAGGTAACAATTTTTTATTTTTAATTTTTCTTTTCACAGGACAATATTCTATTCTACACTATTCAAACTCAATAGCAACGTTTCTAGGATTTGTTTATACTTAAATATACGTTTGATATATGTATTTTTTTTTTATCCAATACGTTTGATATATGTAGGTGCATGGATAATGCATTGTCACTTGGATGTTCACATCAACTGGGGTTTGGCCATGGTGTTCTTGGTGGACAATGGAGTTGGGGAACTGCAAACGATGGAGCCACCACCAGCGGATCTGCCTCTGTGTTAAGAATCTGAAGATTATATCCACATCAACTTTTGTAAAAACCCGATTACCGGGTTTTCATTTTTCCCTTATATCAGTTGTATGATTTTTCATTGTTGTCTTGAGTTCCCCTGCATTTGGGGGCCTAGTTCTTGCTCTGTTTTATAGTTCTTTTTCGATACATCAAAGCCGATATAGAGGATATGGTGCTAGGATTTCAAAAACTGAGCTCACCATCCGATTTAGTCAGACAGACATGCCTTCATTGATTCAAGATTGTTTTGTATTTTTAAGCAACGTGTTAAATAAATCTTATGGTTTAATGAAATCATCTTTTTCTTGTTATTCCTCTGTTTTACTGATGTGGGCGCTCAAGTGAGAGCTTTAAAAATCACACCCAACAAACTAAATATTTCAAGCAAGGGCAATTTTCAAACACTATTCATCGTTTGTGGAGAAGTTTTTCAGTACGACGGTTACCAATCGACGTGTGTTATAATATATGAATCAGTAACAATACATAATAATGTGACCGTCACATTCAAAAATATCTCAGTCTGTTTTCGTATAATTCATTAAGCGTTGTTTTTAAAGAAACACAAATATAAATAAACAACTTATTGATAAGTAATTAAATGTAGTTACAACTATATAAAGTAAAAACCACAGGGAAGAAGAAATACTAGCTGCAAGTAGAAAACCAGGTCATTTTTTACAAGAAACTCCAGACCCTTGATTAGGCAACAATTTTTAAATTTCCAAACTGTCACAACATGCTTGCCAAACTAGATAAAGGCCCAAAAAAAGGCATAATAGTAGACACTAAAGAGTTTTAACAACAAAAGGAAGAAAAGATCCATTGCAAAATTTTTCTCCAAAGACTGATGGGCTGGATTTTTTCTTATGCCCAATGCACATAAAAAATCTCGAACAATTATCAATCCATCTCGTATGAAAATAGGTGGGACAATTACAAAATTAGGGCACGCATTCTCATAAAATTAAGAGGATACTCTTCTCACTGAACACGTACATACGTAATTTTCGTGTATGCAAAAGTCATGAGCCTTCTGTTCGGGCTAAAGGATTTCCCCTCGCACAACTCCTCAAGGGTTTGACACTTGTTGTGTTGTCGAGCTTACTCTTGCTTAGTGTATTGCAAGATAGGTTAGTAGTTAGTTTTAAAAAGTGCCTTTGTGGGGTCTCAGGTGTAGGCCTTGTAGCTCAAAATTAAAACTAACAAGGATGTTGGCGTGCCACTGCTATCTTAGTATAACATATGTTGAACATATGTGATTTAAGTTGATTACTTGTGCCCCAAATTACTTAAACTTCTTATTATCAAAAGATTGTCACAGATGAGTTAAGTTTGCATTAAGTTCTTTTTCTTACCTTGTAAACAAGGACCTTTAGTTCATAATCTTGTACGTCCAAAACAATAGGAGTTCAGGCCCCTTTAATACTATTTCCTAGATTACAGTTCACTTTAATGAAGGTAGATCCATTAACTTAACCATATTCGAATGCAAATGGGGCTCTTAGGTAGAAAACAGGTGGAAACAACTTGAATACATACTAAAAAGTACATTAAGCGACAGATCTACTAAATTAAAGTACAAATAAAGAGACTTGGGCAAGATTTAACCTTGTCAGACTGGGTTGAACTTCTTGTAGCCACTTCTCTTTGGGTTTACAAGGGTTATATGCTAAAAAGGATGGATGGTAAATATGTTTTACATGAGGGAATCGATACTACAACACTAAGGGAAGATAGCAGAGCTTTTATACTAGACAAAAGATGGCTTTTCTAAGGGGAATTTAGCTAAAAAGGAATGAATCTGGACAAGTTTCAGTTTTTTGGGTGGAATTGGCTTGAGAGCAGTGTTTGTATGTTAATTGAGTGTTGTTTAAGTGTCTTTGTCTGTGGTATCTCTTTCTCCTTTTTTGGACGATTTGGCCTAACTGCTTTAGCTTTACTCTTGGTCGAGGGCTCTTGGATGGTAGTGAGTCATCATCTATTTACTTGTAATGCCTTTAGAAAGTGTTTTTTGGCTTGTGCTGAGTTGGTCTTTGTCATTTGTCACTTCATCCCTAGGCACATGGCCTATACCTTGGCTGAAAAGGCTTCAGTTTGCTTCAAGCCTCTTTGTTGGGCTTCAGGCAAGTCCTCATTTTGCTGTGACACCCTTGGGCCTCATTTCATAAAGCACGATGTTAAATATTAACCCAAACACCTTCTTATACATATTTTCTTATGCATGCATTTTTGTGTATACATCAATCATTAAATGCGAACATAAGTAATTTCCTTTTATACATAAATTTAGGAAAATGAAAGTTTCAATAACAAAAATGGAATTGGAGTAACGTCATAATTTTGCGATATTTTCATTCATTTGTTAAATTTTTCGTTAGAACCGCCGTTAAATGATGACGTGGTGCCGACAAAGACAATGAATGGGTGCCACGTGCCAATCTGGCGCCATATGGACATTAAAAAAAGTAAAATAATAAAAAAAATTTGTGTACACATCAATCATTAAACACGTATGTATGTACAAAAATTTAGGAAAATGAAAGTTTCAATAATAAAAATGAAACTGGAGTATTTTGTATTTTATTTAATGACACTTTCTTTTCCTGAATTTAGAAGGCATAGCGCAAAACTTATGGCTTGGAATATTCATCATCAAAATCCAAAGTCAGCAAAATCACACTAAAATTGAAAATTTACTAGCTGGCTGTATTTGATTCTCCTAAGCTAGCTAGCCTATGGTCTAACTAGTACTTGAGGTCTTCGCATCCTAATATATCCTGCGAAACCCACTCTATCAGGTGACTAGCTAGTTTGTCCCCTGCAAGCTGGTTTTGCAATGTATGTCAACTTACAATACCTCGTTACATTTTTCATCAGAAGCGGTTCGAAGTTCGAATTCCCTACTTTCTTGCATCACCAACACATTCACCATTCCACCACAAAATCTGAGGAAGCAAGCATGTCGCAGATCACTCCCAGCTCCGCGTTCTCCATAAAATCTACCATTTCTTCATTACTTAGTGACATTTCCGAGTGTCTCCGTCCCACCATCACAAGGTCGTAATCGCCATGTGACTGCCTAATGGCATCCATAAGCTGCACGCCGTCATCCACCTCCATTTCATGCCAATTCAAGCGATCATTCCCAATGTTGCTTAGCTTAAACTCGTCAACCAAAGCCTGGTCGAGCTTCGCTTCTTTCAGCTGCTCTTCTTCTATTACTGTCTCCGCCAAATTAAACCTGAACACCGAGATGGAAACTTTGGTATTACCCGACATGTGTGCTGAGTAAGCTAATGCCTCGCGATCATCAGGCCCGCCAATGAAAAACACCGCAACATTGTAAGAGAAGTGATTCAAGCTCAGCCGGCAAGACAGGCTTCTATCAACTAGTATCCCAACTGCACATGGAGCATATGATTGTACGTTAATGTTGAATTGGCCTATTGCCTTAGTCGGACAGTTGGGACCAATCACATCCTTGTGGTTTTCATGAAATGGTATGATAATTAGAGGAACTTTCTTGTCATTGGCTTCAAGGCAAATCGTCTCACGCATGCTTTTATAGGGGGCGGTCATAGTGAAGGCTTCAATTACAACCGGCCCTTTCGAATTTTTCAAGTAATTCTCAAAGGTTCGCATTATATGAACATTCGTGGGTACACTTCTGTGTGTAAATTTCTTCTTCTGTTTCATGTGAGGGACTAGTAGTGGTGCTGCGCTGCCAGTGAGTTTGACTGCATGGAAAATGTAGGCACAAATCGGGCTTGCTTCTGTCGGGTTTGACGCCTCCAGGAGGGCGATCATGTTGCATACACTTTCTTCGTTGTGGACACAGCAAAGGATTTGAAATGTTTCCGAGTTGCTTGCCAGTAATGATTGAATATTTCTAACGCAGTCGTTTTTGCTACTTGATTGTCTGAGGTGTACATGAGGTATGCACAAGAATCGTATGAATGGTGTTATGGCCATGGTCAGACCCAGCGAGGACAAGACGATTTGAGTATAAGATTGTTGATCCATTTGCTGCAATTAATATCAATTAGGAACCCAAAACAACGGATTGTAAATATGGCGTTTAACATCTACTGGTCCCTTAAAAAGGATGGGTTGCTCATGAGTACCAATTGTAGTATTTGTTACATTGTCTATAATATGACCGACAATGTAGCAGATACTGTAAATTAGTACTCATTACAAGAAAATTATTACCCTCCTTAAGTTGGTGGGGTATCAAAGAGAAAGAGGAAAAAGATAAAAGAAAGAGTATGATACCTTAAGGACCCTCCAGCGACTGTAAATGGAAAGTTCTATTAAACCCTTGATGCTCATGATCATGCTGAGCTACATACTATGTTTGAACTTAATTTTGCAGCACATTGCATGTTGAGAATCAATGTCATTTGTAGGTGAAGTAAGTGTGTGAGGTTGGTGAAGTAAGTAAAGGTTGTAGGTGAAGTAGGTGGATGTTGTAGGTGAAGTAAGTGTGTGGTGTAGCTTTCATTTGGTTTGCTATAAATACCCAAGTCCCCAAGCATTGTATATCATCCAAGGAAAAACAAAGCCTAAAGCTAAATAAGAAAAGCTTTGCTAATTAGTTTGTTTTGTGAGCTTTCTTTAAGAGTGTGCTCTATTTTCTTCTTCTTGGGATCATTAGAGTTATCTTGGATACTCTTCTTATTCAACAATTGGTATCTAGAGCCAAGTCGGTCAGGGATCGTTCTTGGTAGAGCATTGGTTGTACAGTCTCTTGAAATTCCGAGTATGCTCTGTGGTTGCAGTTTTGACTGATCTTCCACATCAGAAAAAATTTCTTGAGATTATTGCTGGGGTTATCACAAACCTTGAGAGGGAGCTTCTTTGTGTCGAGAGTAGTGTATTACTCTGCACGGTAGTCACTCAAGCTTGTTCGGTGTAGTCAAAGTCTTGCCGATACGATGAGTGATCTTCAAGTTGTTGGAGGAATCAAGAAGCTCAACAATCAAAACTATAACACGTGGGCAACGTGTATAGAGTCTTACCTTCAAGGTCAAGACTTGTGGGAGGTTGTCGGTGATAGTGAAGCTACACAACCGGCAGCGGAAGATGCTAACGGCGTCTTGCGGAAGTGGAAAATTAAAGCAGGCAAATCAATGTTTGCTTTAAAGACCACAATAGAAGAAGAAATGTTGGAGCACATTCGGGATGCTAAAACGCCAAAGGAAGCATGGGACACTTTTGTTACACTCTTTTCGAAGAGGAATGATACAAAATTGCAACTTCTCGAGAATGAGCTGCTATCGATGGTACAACGCGACATGACGATTGCCCAGTACTTTCACAAGGTGAAGTCAATATGCCGCGAAATTTCAGAATTAGATCCAACAGCTCCTATTGGGGAAACCAGGATGAAGAGAATAATTA